TTTAGCACTTTGGAGGGTAAATATTTGTTTATTTAATTTTGTGTCCCCAAGCAAAGGTGCCCAGATTAAGATGCTTATTTGATTTCTTGAGTTAGAATATGGGTTATAGCTAATCCATGTAAAAATTACTGGAAAAACAACAACAACAAAGATTTGTGGTTTAGGTATTAAGCTATTTTTTCATGAGGACAGTGACTTTCTGAATTTTTGTCACCATAATGTTATCAGAGACTTGTATGTTGAAGAAGCAAGATATTTTACAGGTGCTGGTTGACAGATTTTGTTACCTGTGGAAAAATGTTTAGAGTATTCAGCATTCACCTCCTAAAAAAACATTCTAATGAACAATAGGCTACTAGTTTAAAAAAAAATAAAATAAATACTGCACATTGCTGCACACTGATTAAATGACAAGGTCAAAAAGTTGTAGTTGTTTGTGTTTTGCAGACTTTATTTTTTCTCTTTTTACCTTTGATGTGGGCCAAACTTGCTGTCTTCAGTCTTTATGCTAAGCTAAGCCAAGCCGCTGCTGTAACCACATATTTAAAGGAGACAAGAGCTATTGTTCTTCTTATCTAATGCTCTGCAAGAAAGCAAATTGCCAAAATTTTCAGATGTCTAAACAATTCTTTCATTTTTCAAATTTTCCAGTGCTCATGTATGAATTAAAACACAATGTTTCCTTCTCCTCCTACAGACCCGCTAACCTCAGTGACAGTGACTCATACTGGTGGACCAGCAATATTTAATAAGCCATTCAATCTAACATGTGTAGTGACTGAATCTGTCGACACCATTCTGTGGTGGAAGGATGGCCAGCTTATTTCTGCTAGTAATACAACAATTATTGGGGCAGACAACAAGACACTGGAACTAAGCCCAGTCCGACGTTCAGATAATGGATCTTACTGGTGTGAGGCTTTTAATGCTGTGAGCAACAGGACCAGCAGCCCCTACAACGTTATAGTCGACTGTAAGTATTTTATTTATTCTCATTATTGCTAACTAAGGAGGAAGTAGATGAGACATTTGCAAATGTGGCCACATCTAGTAGATTTATGATCAAATACCTACTGAAGTGAGCTAAACATCAAAATGTTGAGTGGGGAATTTCTCTTTCCATGCACAGTTCTGTGTTTTCTGAATGGCTCGACAGTCATGTTTACAGTGAAGGTGATTTAAAATAAAACCCATGTGTTTAGATGGACCGGATATACCGACTATCACAGGACCAAATGTGGCAAAGACAGGAGACAGTGTCACACTCACCTGCTACGCGTCATCAGACCCTCCCAGCTTCTACACATGGTACTTCGGTGGTTCTCTAGTGGCCAACACATCTAACTATGTCACACCTCCTCTGACCACGAACATGAGCGGGGTGTACACCTGCATGGCCTACAACAACGTCACAGGCCAAAACACAACTGCAAATGCAACGCTTACTGTTGTTGGTGAGACTTGGATGGCCATTTTTATGTCTTTGTAAAAATATGTTTCCCTACTTACAAACAGGAAAGGTTGCTAACTAAATAACTTGCAGATTTTTTCTTTGTTGCCAGATCCAATACAAAATGTACAAATAGCAGCACCAACGAACCCTGCCATAGCAGGATATTCATATAACCTAACATGCGAGGTGACGGGACCCGCTGATCATGTTTACTGGATGATGGCGGATATGCCACTGTATGCAGACAATGCAATTACTTACAGCACGGATAACAAAACAATCACCTTCAACCCAATACGAGTCAGTGACACAGGACGCTACCAGTGCATGGCTATGAATGCTGTTGGAAACAGGACCAGCCATGATTACATGTTTGTTGTGAACTGTGAGTATAACATTTAAAGGATTTATGTTACTGTAAATGACACATTATCACAACTGACAGTTTTACTGTACATGCTGTAGTGTAGTGAATTATCCTGAGTTTTAAAGCATAGTACTTTTACACTCACCAGCCACTTTATTAGGTACACCTGTACAATTGTATGCACTTCAGTGTATAAACTTAATTATATGTTTATCATTGAGGTCATAGTTAAAGGTGGTGGTGTACTGGAATACATTATATTCAGAGGTGTCTGCATATTTTGGTCCTCTTCAGTTACATACATGAGAGGCTCAGAATATTAGGAACACCTTAACTATAACTGAATTTATACATTTATGACAATTTCACCAAAAATGGAAACGTTTTGAGCTTCATAAACACAGATGTTAATGCAGAAGTGCTGCACTACAATTGTACCGGTGTGATTATTGAAGTGTCCGGTCAGTGTATTTGTTGAGGTACAATGCAGTAAGAGCCTACTTTTTTTTGTTGCAGATGGACCACAAATGCCTATCATTACGGGGCCACAGTTTGCAGAGTCAGGACAATCTGCCCAGTTCAACTGCTCTGCCATGTCACAGCCTCCCAGCCAGTACAGCTGGTGGTTCAATAACATGACAGTGGCCAATACTTCAGACTTAACAATTCAAAATTTGTCTTCAACAATGAGTGGAAAATACACCTGTATGGCCTACAATAATGTGACAGGAAACTACAGCTCTAACTACACAATGCTCACAGTCATACGTAAGAAAATTTAAATATGACTTATATCTGACTATGCAATTACTGTCAGAATGGCCAGAACAGAATGAATGTGTTTTTTTTTTCATTCCTTTGTGTGTATATTGTTGTCATCATTCACTGTTTTCCTCTCAGACACAGAGGAGAGGAACACTGTCGATGAAGGTCATAGGAGAGATGAGGACATTTCAAATCTGACTGAAACATTTCAGATAGAACATAGGACTGTTTTTGAGGAAATTATGTAATTTCACTGTTGCACAAAGATTGCTATTCTTGTAGGCATGCACCTTACATTTCAGTTAAATCTGCACACGAATTGCATTTGAACGGTGTTCAAATCGGAGTTGGAAACATGTCACTTATAACCACAAATGTACAGCAAAAAGGTCAAATGGCAAAAAAAAAAGCGATTTAAGACTTGTAATGTGAATGTAGCCTTAGTCAAGACATTAGCAAATGTGACTCTTTCACCACAAATTGTCTGTGTAACTGATCAAACACTGATTTACATGCTTTTATATGCTGAAAGTCTCAATTCTGTAAAAGGATGATGCACAGTCATGATGCCTCACCTTAACTCACTGTGTTTTATGTTTACAGAGGCCATAACATCAGTGATGATTGTAAACACTACCATCCCAATTAACCTTCAAAACTTCACTCTCACCTGCAAAGTTGATGGAACCTATGACAGTATATACTGGATGAAAGACAACAGAACGCTCGCTGCTGACCCACAGATGTCCTACAACACAGTTAACAACACGCTGCAATTCAATCCACTGACACTGAACAATAATGGGAGCTATCGGTGTGCTGCTAAAAATCAGGCGGCTACACATATAAGCCTTGAATATGTGCTGCAGGTCAACTGTGAGTATTGTGGGAACCAATGGATAGTGGCTCTTAGACATGAGTGGGAGAGTGGGTTTTAAGAAAATTTGTTATATTTCATGAAAACCTTTTTGTTACATACATATAAACAATTTTCTTGTGTAATTATGTACTTTTACTTAAGTAGGAGTTGAAGGACTTTGATTTGTAATGGAATATTTTGATTTACCGTACTGACAAGCTACTGGCATTTATATAATTTATCTGAGTACTTCTTCCTCCACTGATAACAGTATATATGACACATGGTCAAGAGTTTGACCAGGAAAACCAGAATGAGTTTTGCAAGCTCTGCTGCTCAGAATAAATATGGTTTTAGATTTAGCATTTTATGCCAAAGCATAATATTGTAATATAAAATATTCATCATTTCACTGTACATCATTCTGAACAATTCTTTCTGTCTGTTTGCAGACGGCCCACTGAGTGTGACTATCTCTGGTCCAAATTCAGCAAAACTAAGCGACATCGTGTCCCTGACATGCTTTGCTGCCTCTTGGCCAAATTCTTACTTCCAGTGGTTCTTCAACAGTCAGGCGATGGTTCAGGGTAATGGCTCTGTAATGACATTCTCTGTGACAACACAGAGTCAGGGAAGCTACACATGTATGGCACAAAACCCTGTGACCAAGATCACAATGAACCAGACTAAAGCCTTTACTGTCACTGGTGAGTGGATGTTACTGTACATCTCCTCTTTCACTATTTTTGTCGTGCTCTCTCAAGTATTTCCATGATGGATTTTTTTTAATGGTCTTTTCAATCTGAACAAGTTATTTTGAAATATCTCACAAGCAAATTATGAGTGAAAGATTATTATATATTTTGATGGTATTATATACTATAAAAACATCTTGTTCATTACTCAGTGTTGACTTTAAAGTGTGGAATAGCTGAAAAACAATCTGTTATATCCACCTAAATCACTTTGTTAGTGATTACTGATTACTACAGTTAATCACTATCAGAGTAGGTGCGCTACAGGTTCAGATATCTCATGTTGTATTTAAATGTGACTTTCTTCTTCACTCAGAACAACACATATTTCTCTTTATTACCCATTATTTCCTTCCCTTCTCCTTCTCAGCCCATGCCTCCGTCATCCACTTCCCGTCCTGTGGCAGTCTGATGTTGATGGGGCTGTTAACTGTGTCGGCCCCTGTGCTGTTCAGCTGAGTCCTTCAAACTGAGAAATCCAGTCAGACTGAAGGCCTCTTGCTCCCTCTACAGTCTCTGAGAATAATCTTACTTTTAAAAGAGTGAATGGTACTTTAAATGACAGGTAAATTAAAGCATAGTCTTATATATTGTAACATTAAATTATGTTATTATTACACCACCTGATTTGGGTTTTTTTGTTAAATGTCATGATTAGTAGTAATTAAACATAGGTGTGCTACATCAATACAAGTGTGTTCCTCCAAAATACCTCCATACTCTTTTGGTCTGTTATACATGATAATACTAAATCTTTAAGAAATTGTATGCTTACTTTGATTGGTTGTGTTCTATCTATTAATCAATAAAAATCAATGCAATCCATGTTGTGGGGACTTTATTGAGCAGGGTAAAACAAGGCTCCAGATTCAGAAAAATACAATCAAACTAAACCTTAGTCAGTAAAACATCATCATAAACACTTTTCTGCTTAAAGACAATAGAGTTTGTATGCAAAGAAATAAAAAGGTGATTATTATAAAATCACTGATATACAGTATATGAGGATACATAGTACATAAGAAGGGCTTCTTAGTGTTGTTCATATGGGGACACTGGGATCATAGCGCTTCTGCTTCAAAACATTGTATTTCCTCTGATTCTTCCGCATTTTCTTCTGGCACTTTTTTCCCCCTTATGGGTTGAATGATTCCAGATGAATAAAGCAATAGGGTAATGAAAAACAAGAACAGATTAAGTTCACTGTCCAAAATATTTTTAAATCTGTAATTAACATTTTTTAAGTTTATAATCACTTTAAAGTTTAGGTCAGAAGAATACACAGAGTACAAGACTTTATAATACAAGTCTTAACACTGAGCTCACTCATTACTGGTTGCTTTACTTCATTACTTTAGAAAGCTCAAAAAAACTGAGAGGTGACTCACATTTCCCAGGCTTCTGCTTGTGTTTGGCAGGCTGCCAACAGGGGCCACGTTTAGTCGCCCCCTTTCTTCTCCTTTCTGGGTGAACTGTATACACAAGGACAAAAGAGCAAAATGGGTTCAGATAACACACTCCTGCTTACATTTAGAATGATGAGACTAACTACATGTGTATTTTTTATTATTTTATTTGTTTGCTTGTTTTACTGTATGCCTTCATTATCATTAACTTCACAGTTACAGTTTGTTGTGCTGACCTGGAGCGGTGATTGGATTTGCAGTTGTCAGTGACCTTCCAACAGCAGAGGCTACAACACAGTTAGCATCAAACTTAATAAATGAAATAATACAAATATAAAAAGTTTGCTTTAAAAAAAAAAGACTTTGTGGATAATGTGTTTAAAACATTTATCTCACATACCATCAGTGAATGTGCTGGTAATCAAGGACCATTCTTGTATCTCAGGAACACCTTTGAAGAGGTATTTAAAATCACAGAATAAAATGCAAACATTGTAAAAAAAAATTTAAAACACTGAATTATCTCATTCTGAGAAAGTGCTATACAATACCTTGATTTTGATGAGTGAATATTACCAGTACAAGAAGCAACAGCAAAAGCATCCTTGTGGCCATGCTGTAGTAAAGCCAGTACAGTATGTCCAGGGAAAGAAAAATCGTGCATTAACTTCAGCCCCAGCGAAAGTATGAAATGGTTGGTGTTGTGCGTCTTTATAAAGGTTGGTGTTGATGTCTGAAATGAGAGCCATGGCACAGTCATCAGCTGGCAGTTACATGAAGAATGTCTTGCCCAATCACCATCTTTACAATGGGGGGTTGTGAACAGCAGGAAAAACTTTTGCCAACAAACTTGAGTGATTTGAGTAACAGCTCGTTGTTGTGAGGAAGTGTTTATACAAGTCAAACCTTTTTTTATTTATTTTTTTACATGGTCTTACTATGTGAGTATCCTGTTATTTGATGATCCTTGGTTGAGCTTGTCAGATGCACATTTTCAGTTCCTTACTCTCTTATTGATCCAAGTTTAGATCAAACCATCTGTAACATTGTTTAAACAACTTGGGAAAAAAGTGAAAAGTCAGATGGATATTTATGTTCATCTGCTGCTGGTTGGTATATTCAACAGATACATAGACTTACAATCAGCCAGTTATAGGTGCTTCTTATCAGCACTGTCAACACCACTGCAATGGATACCCCACCATCACATGTAAGATCCTGCTTATTATTACTCGAATGTGTGGTGACCGTTGGAAGAGGTGTCAGCAAGCCCTGATGCAGGCAAACGCAAAGTCAGACTTGTTTGCTCTACTCGGGTTTCAGAAAAGCAGCTCTTTGCTCCAACTATGAGGCAGGAACGAAACCAGTCAACCAAAAGTAACAAATCAAATCAAATTAGTTAATGTCTTGCAGACGTGTATTCTTGTTGACCCTCGTGGATAATGATCAGTGACAATGGATATCACTCAGTATCAGCACAAAGATTGGATCAATCAACCAAGGAAAACTGAAATCTTGTTTCGATGTTTAATGCATTCTTTCATCACTTTCACAGGCAGCCAACATGAAGCATAATTCAAGGTCTGTGCACAATCCTTACCTAAGAGGCTCAGAAGCATTTCAGTGTGAAGTCAAGTCTTTTACTGTAGATGGTGCATTGTGTTGTAGATGAGATTGAACTTGAAGCATAAGCAACTATAGGTTTATCAATGCAGCTTCACAGCCTACTCAAACACATTATGTTTGCAACAAAACAGCCTCTCATGTCAAAAGCATTTGCTATTACAACAGGTGAAGCAAAAAGGACAATAATGAGATAATGTGACATAACAAAAAGGATATAGACAGTACTGGTCAATCAAAAGTATTTGGTCACTCAAATCAACATGTACAAAAGACACCAGACATCACAAGAGTAAATACAGCTATTGCCAAAAAAAGAACTTAGTGGAACTGAGAAAGTAAAATGAAACATTACAGGAGTTTCAGGTAAGCCAGTGTCTCACACCGTTTTCCGACTAGTTCCTGTTCTAGTAGCGTCAGTCAGGCAGTGTTTTTGTCATAATGGGTTTCTTCCGAAGAGCAGAATTCTGAAGAAAATCAGGCTTTATGAACTGATGAGAACTGCAAATGAAGTGACGCGATTGGCAGCAGTTATAAATAAAACTTTAAAAAGGTGCAACAACTAGTGTTTTGACCTACCATGCATCTACGTCTAGATTAAAAAGTTGCTGTATCTTGTTAAAATCTTTATTCATAACTGTTGGGCCGCCTGAATTTCTTTACATAGACAGCATAAATGAACCTTCTATGGAAAAACACTTCTAGATCCAAAAGCTAGTGGAACAGATGCTTACTGGGAATTGAGGCAGGGCTTTGTCTCTCTGTAGCAGAGGATACTTAATTATGACTGCATCATAAACACAAAAACTTTATCCCATTAACAGTTTATCTCATTACCTGTAACAGTGGTCATCAGCTCTGGCTATGGAGAGGACTTACACTAGTAGCTTGTGCAGCTTTTTGCCCTTAATAATTGATTCTGCCCGTCCTTCAAGGTCTTAATAAGCTGAGTGCGATGCTCTCTGGAAACAGGGATGAGGACCACTGTGGTAGTGTACATTTGTGCCTTTATTGCTCAGTTCTCAGCAGGTTTCTCTAGCATGGATTTGAGGCGAGCATGCAGGGGTTCACACACAGCCTGGTAGCCCTGAGGGGTCAGGTGAAGGTAGTCGTACATGTCCTGGTGGGAGATGCTACCATCAGTGTGGACGAAACCTGGGTCCACATCAAAGAAAGAGGCATGTGGGAGGGATGACAAAGCTTCTTGAACCAGTTCGTTCACCCTGGCATTTCGCTCTCGCAGAGGGTTTGGTGATTTTCCTCTTGGCAAAATACTCTAAAAACCAGATAAACGAGTGTTACTGTTAAAAAGATCTTTCCCAAACAAGTGCAGCTTTTTCAAAACAGTGTGTAATGTCTCACATTACCATTTCCAAACAGTTCACACATAATATAAGTGCTTTTAAAAAGACAGGTCTGTCTTAAAACAACAGTTGGGTGCCCATATGAACAGTGAAACAGGTTTTTCTTGCTGCAGGTATTCCCTTAAGATTTCTAATGTGCTTCCAATGTGCAGTAAGACATGTGGAACAAAAAAACATTTAGAGTTTATCTGAAGTTAATTTGAGGCTTCAAACATCTGAATTACACAAGACTAGTGAGTGTCTTCAAAAGTTAGTCTATTGATAAGTACAAGTCCTTCAACTGCAGCTCAGGACAGAAAGTCTGTCCACAGAAACACAAAGAATTTTGTATTTAAAAATATCCACTTGTTTTAATTACCTCATCAAAATAGTTGTCGATTATCAATCAACTACCGGTAATCAATTTGCTACTATAGAATGTCACTTTCAGCTTTTCCCATTTAGGGGTCGCCACAGCGAATTATCACACTGACGACTCACATGTTGACATTTAGCATGTGTTTTACGCCGGATGCCCTTCCTGACGCAACCCTGATTCGAACCCGGGCTGCAGCAGCGAGAGCCCTGTGCCTTAACCACTAGCCTACCAGGGACGGCTTCCATCAATTAGCTACTATACTGTACAGTTATGTCTCATAAAAATAAATGGCAACTAATTATCTTGTGCAAAATGGAGACTGTGGTTTTTGTCTCAGTCATTCCAAGCATGTTAGAAAATAATTGATCTGCTAATGACCTGTGTGTTCCTATGTTCATATATGGGCATGTGGGGATTGGTTTAAGACAGGCCTGAAAAATGTGAACCTATCCTTCAACCAAACTACTTCATTGCGCCCAAAAGTAGCTCATCTCAGAAAGCTGAGGTGAAACTATGAGGGGTGACATCACAGTGCAGTTTGATGGTTGTATGGATGTTTTGCCATTTTCAACAGACATGCAGGTGCATAGATGATCCTTTAAGGAATGCATTAAACAAACTTACAAGTACAAGCGTGTGAGCATGGGGGAGCTTGTTTTTGATGACTTGGACAATAGCCATGATGCCTCCACAGATCTGTTCAGGAGTGTGTCCATGATTGTTGGTGCCTACCCACAGCACTACAACCTAAAACAACAAAAGGTTAAAGATTCCATAACTAAACAGATGTCAGTGACAGAATGGGATCAGTGAAACTGGAACTAGGATCGTAGCAAAAAGGGAGCACAGTCAATCTACTGTTTTAATACACAAGCATGATCATGTTCTCTGTTTTTGTTTGGGACCTTTGGGCTGATGTTATCCAATTCGCCATTACTCAGTCTCCAAAGCACATGTTGTGTTCCATCACCTCCAATCCCAAAATTCAGGCAATGGAGAGGAGAGAACAGCTGCCTCCATATCTGCAAACAAATCAAAACAACAGTGTCCACATGCTGAACAGTCTGAAAAGTATGTGCGCAAAGATGTTTATGAGAACATGATTGTATACAAAAAAACATATAGGAATGTGATCTGTGTTTTACCCCAAACTGGTGCATGAGCTGAACAAGAGAGTCTCCAGCAAACAGGACATCTGGTTCTTTGTCTTTGCTGTCAGATACAAAGCGATTGTGCTTCAAACAGAAAAAGGCAAATGTCAAGACTTTCCAATATCAAGCACCCCATTAAATGCAGCATCAAAATCAGGCATGTCAGTTGATGATAGTAAAAGAAAAACAAAGTTCTGCGATGATTAGACAATTAATCGATCAACACATAAGTCACTTGCATAAAAGATCAAGTATTATGTCAGCTGATTAAATATCAGTGCACATTCTCATTTCTTTTTCGTCCTATTTGATGAACTTGTTGATTAAATATCAGGGCACAGTCTCATTTCATTTGATGAATTATGAAAAAACACTAGGTCTATACAGCAAGGCTGCAACTAGCAATCATTTTCATGATTGATCTGACTTTTTTTTAAATAATTAACGATTTAATGTACAAAATGTGTTTGAAATACGTGGAAAAAGTCTATCACAACTTTGTAGTGCATAAAGTAACATCTGCACGTCTTTTGTTTAACCAATAGCTCAAAAGCCACAGGCATTTTGTTTGTTTGTTTGTTTTTTTTACGGGAAAACCTGACGATACATGCCCATTATGCTGTAACGTTGGCTACATAAAAGCCACGGAACAAGCAACAGACATCTTATAATAACAGTTATTTCACACACCATAGACATCCATCGTCCATCTCCCTGGTTGTCTTCACAGGGAGTGGGTGTGGCGGCTGGATTTGGGTCTTCTGCACTCATGATTTGGCTGTGTGTGTTGGAAATGAGTCACGTAGGGGTTTTGGTACTTTCTGCAACGGAAATAAACCGAGAAATAAATAGCCTCTATTGCTAATTGCTAGCTAAATCTAGGGAGGCTGGTACAGTTAGCCACAGAAGCTAGCCTACTTGCTTAAACAGTATAGATTTTGTTTAACGGAGCGATAACGGTACTAACACAGATTGTTATTAACATTAAATCACGCAAGCCTAAATTGTGCAAAAGGCGGAGCTTTGTATAATGGTTACGTTCATAAATATTACTGAACATAGGCTACCGTAAAATCAAAATATCTTCATCTCCCAGTTCAGTTTCAGGAAGTACAGTACACGTTCACCGCACTTGAATGTACCATTATCCTCCATGGGCAACATCAAATATGTTTTCATGTATTATGTGTTGTCTGACTATTATTACTGTACTATGTGTTTTAGGATGAAATCTGTAATAAACGATAAGAAGAAATGAAAGTGACGTGTTTAGGTGGAGGACAAATAAAAAAATGAGACGGTTTTACCTCCTCGCCCGTGTAAGTGGATTCGTCCCGCTCATTGATGTTGGTGAGAGTTGGTGCTGCGCAGTTTCTTTGCGAAAGAAACATAACCACGGCTAATGCTGCCAGTTTGAACGATAGTTCACCTAAGTGGACTAGTCATTCTTTATTTGGAAGGTTGTTATAATTTAGCCTACTTTTTGTACCATTGGGGTGGTTTACACATACAGAAATTTGGGCTATAGTTCAGAGGTTCTCAAATGGTAAAATGATGTGTGTGAGGAAAGGGCAGGGGCATGCAAGTGATCTAAAACTGATTTTTTTTTTTGTAGTTTGGTCCGCCTATCAACAGCTGCAGCAGCTGGAGAAATTAAGGTTGGCTACAATGAAACCTGATCACCACTTACTTTCCGTACAGCATCATGTCTATCGGAAAGTGCCACAAACCCGCTCAGAAATCGCAAAAGCTTCAGAACTTCCATGACAATCTGGTGTTTAAGTTTTCTTCATTATCAAAATAATCCAGTGATAGTTGTCAGCGCCTCCAGTGATTTACTGCAAACAAGAACGGAATTCAGCGTGTTTAATTAGCCTATCCAAAATGCTTACAAATACAAATTCGAGTTGTATCCGTTTTATCAGTGGTTGTATCCTGTGAATCATTGGCAAAAAAAAAAAAATCATTGCCAACTTAACGTTTCATGAAAAAAGCGTGAAGAAGAAAAATATTTTGATGATGATATATACTTAGATTAGATATATGGACTAGCTACTAGATAGACCGAGTAAGTGGGCAAACCCTACTCTTCTAAATGAAAATTCAAAAAATGTGCTTGCGATGGTTAGGCTCTGATTGGGCAAATTGTTTAGCTAGATCCCAAAATTCAAGAACAGCTTCTGAGAGGAAGTAAACTCTTTTCCCCTGTGGCTATGCATTTGCCCCTTATTTCACCCTAAAAACCAGCCCACTCACATAATGCTTATCTTGACCCAAGCCAGGTCCTCTGCTTACTCTTGAGTCTTAGGATCTAACGTTGACCAAGTGACCTGTGCCCGTACAGGTTGCCCAGCAACACCAGATTTATATGCAACAAAAGGACAATTAGGTAAGTAGCGTAGTTGATTAAGTGTTTTAAAAAAAAGTTTTATACAGTTTTACTTTGTTTCGCATGGCATACAGCCTACTCAGGTTAAGTTTGTTAGCAGCTCCAGTTAAATACTGTGAATACGTACAGGTGCGCTTGAATTTAAATCGCACCTGTTGGCTGATGTTATCATCAGTTTGTTAGCTAGCTAGGCTAACGTACACTATAGTTTTTCTCAATAGCATTGGCTCTTTTCTTGAAACATGATTGTCAAAACATTTTATACCGTCCCAAAACCTTTAACTAGCTCATGCTTCAAAAGTAAATCCTTATGTCAATGAATCAGTCTCCCTGAAAAAAGGAAATGTGAAAACTGTGTAAGTCTAGGTTTTCAAAATGTTTAGCTGTTTTGTCAGTAGGACAATGGAGCACTTGCATTAGAATTAAGTGTAGGAGTAGTTTTGTTTTCCTGTAATATGCAAGTTCAATATAGTGAGTGTTACTGTACGTACATGTCCATCATTGTCTATTTCTGTTATTCAAAGCATCAGACTCTTCACCATCTTACATAAATTACCAATATTATGAATGTTAAGAAAAATGCATTTGTTTTGTACTTTAGGTATGTCACAGTATGTATGATTTAAGTACTCAATGTCACAGTCCATAACCGTAGGGTCAACATTTGGATTATTTCACTGTCATTAAAACATTAGTGATTTACTTGATAATCTAGTAGGTTTAAACTCACTGAGGTGCAACAGCAGCCTGTAGAGGAGATCTCTCTCGCTTATCTCTACCTCCTACCCACATCCTATTTCCTTGGAAATGACTAATTGCAGTTATCTTTCTACAGAACTGGGTGAAGCATGAGCCACCTCAGTGGTAGATCGTTATCAGAAATGGCAAATGTTTTCAACAAGCAATTAAAAACTACAGAGCAAAACTGCTGTTCAATGAACATATTCACTGCATGCTGCAAATGTTTAAACTGCTCTAGGAAGACCGAAGGGCAGCATAAAATGAAACGACTGATGACCCGCAAGGAGAGGAGTCAAATGAGAGGTGGTGGGAAAGCAGCCTCAAAGACCAAATCACATCACCATCATTGGTGTCAGCAAAGCAGTAAAGATATGGCATATTTCCATAACTGTTGTCATAGTAGCTGTTACTGTCCTTCAAGGAGAGCTGCACCAATTCCAAATGTCGTTCCTACCACACAGGAGCTCAGCATCATCACAGACAGCCGCCTGATAGGACACCATGGCCTGTTCAACCACGAGGTGAAGTCTGTTGACATTGAAAGGTTGTTAACTGAGCAGGGGAAACTGGAGATAAAACAACAGCATGTACAGGAAAGGAACCATACCATTTCACGTCCATCTTCAACACATCTCATTACTTCTCCAGTCTCCCCTGATGATTTGTTGGGTGCTGATGCTAATACAGTTGTGACTGTTGAAAGGAAAGCAGGCAGTGCTATAAAAGCACAGAATAATTGCTGGGAAAAAGAGAAGAAAATCAATCAGGAGTCAGATATTACACTAGCTCAGAGACCACAGCAAGAACTTGATCTTTCATCTGGAAGCTATAAAAGCATCTTCTCATCTAAACACAGCCCCCTTGATAAAGTAATATTTAAGAGTGAGAAGACCAACTCTGTCAAGTCTGAAAAGGACAGAGTATCTCAGCTATCTCCTACTATTGACAGAGGCAATGTGAACTCATTAAAGAAGACTGCTACACTTGAACATACTCCAAAGAACCAGGAGTCTTCTGTTGAACAGACACAAGCTCATGGTCTCAGTCCAAGCCCACTTCAGCTCCCCCACTCGCTCACTGCTGATAGCTTTGACATACAACACAGAAGACAAGATCCCCACTGTGTATCCAAGGCTGTCAGTGCAGTGGCAGCACGTTTGTGTGACTCTCTGCACTTCCCATTTCTGAGAAGGCATAACTTGGAGACAGAAAGTAGGGAGATGCTGTTGAAAGCTCTGCAGGACAGGCATGGACCCCGACTTCAGGAGAACCTTCTCAAGGTGCAGCAGTGTCTCAGCTTTGGTACTGATCCTGCAAAGATAGACCAAGATCAGGAGCCTGCTATGATTGATGAAGATGAGCTCTTATCTACAGGTAGGCACTGAAGCAGCTGTTTTACCTCAATATTGATAAAATGCTATAATAGTAAATGTACTATATAGAAAACAATGCTGACTTGGAGATTTCTCTGTGATAATTATCAACATCATCCATCTTTAAAGCTCCCCTGTGTAGTTTTTTTTTGTACCATAACATGGTGAATCTATCCTCTTCCTTTTAAAATGCATCAGCATTTCAAGTTGATACTGAGAGGCAGCCATGTTTTGACATGCAGCAAGCCAAATCTTTTGGAATCGCAGGAAGCACACATTTTGACTGGAAGTCTACTCTACAACCACACCAAAGCCTGGAAAAGGTAAGACCTGAAGTTTACCTGCCACTCTCTTATCTTAGAGCCATGTCTACACTGCAAGCATAGCATGTACAGCACCTAACATCCAATGAACAGCTTGCGAGAGGCTCATGCTTGTGTCTACACCGGGCGCATTTACTTGTGCATTGGAAGCACTCGCTGTTCAAAAAGCACACAAAGGAGGCTACAGAAACACATCTGAAAAGGGAAAACTACAGTACGGTGCAAAACTATGACTGATAGTAGACAGTGAGGGAACTACTGGCTACACCGTACAATGTATCCAACCCATGGTAAAACACAGCATATGAAACCTACACATACTTAAAAAAGAACTCCATGGTCAGTGGGATTGATGTAATAGATAATAGATCATTTATTTTTAACTGTGTGTAGCTGGTGTATTTTTGTATTTTGGTGGAGGTTTGGTTGAAACTAGTGGGCTTTTATTGTTTTGGTGGATTCTGTGGAGCATTTTACACTTTGAAAAAATAGACTTGAAGCATAAAAATACACTTCAGGTCGCAGCTATGTATGTGAATGATACGTGACCCAACACGTAGACAGCAGGATCAATTAATATAAGACTGCATCAGTTGCATGATGTGCGTCTCATGTGTATCAAAGGCACAGCTGAAATGCTTGCAGTGTAGACATGGCTTAAATCTATACTGCCACTGTCTGATTTACTTTACATATGAACCAGATTATTGCATCTTTCTTTTGGCAGCCAGATCATTTAAGATCTTCTTAAAATGTTTTCTTTTGTTTCATGTGAAGACTGCTGAATGGTCGATGAGTCCTTTAGATGCTGCTGCCAATTTTTTGGATGATACACTCAGACCTAGTGGCTCTCCTCAGTTCTGCTTGGACTTTGAGCTCTCTGGAGCTTCAGTAAGTGATCATCTGTTTGCTCCCTCTGCCACCCCATGCTGGGGAGAAAAAACCTCAGCATCTCAGTGCTGGGAAGACAGTTTCAACAGGACAGAGAGCAAAGAGTCCATTATGTTTGATTCCTTTGAAAGCAGCTTTATGAACCACACCAAAGCAGTTAGAAAGAAGAGCTATGGGCCACAGTATAGTGACAGTAACATCCAGCCCTCCTTTCTTTACAAAGCACAGCTGCCACATAGACATTCAGCAGAGCCAGTGCGCTTTACACGGAAGCAAGACCCTTTTGAAACTGACAAATACTTGTTTGCTTCCTCCTTTTCTCCCCAAATTTGCCATCACAATCAGATCAACCACTTCCAGCCTTTTAGCCATTTCAGTCACCCTCCAACTTACCCTCCCATCAGGGCCCATCACACTGACATGATGCAATACCCGCCATCTTACATGCTTGAAAGAGACCCACCACCTCACCTTTCTTCTTTTCCGAGCCCTGAGCACTGGTCCTTTCCTCCAATGAGACTGTACTAATGTGTAGTGAAGCTTTGTATAGAGACATGCCTTTAATTGTTTCTTTGGTCAGCTTAACAACAGCCTTCTCATAATTCATACCATCAAAGTTCAGTCAGTGAAAATATATGTTCTGTGCATATATTTTATTTTTAAAAACCCAGTATAAAATATAATGGTATCTGTCATCTCAAGAGGCACCTCTGTTGTTCTTTTGTACACAGAACAGAAGTATGTATTATTTGTATCTCTGGAGCATTTTTAATGTGGAAACTGTATAATAACTCATATCTTCATTAACATAGGTGCTATACTGGGAAATTCTGTACAGTGCAAGAATTTTAGCCAAGAGTGTGCTATTGTGAAAGCTCTGTTATTTGGTTTATTTTTGTTTGTCTAGGCTTCATTTAAATGTAAGACAATACATTTATACAATTCTACATGAGAGATATGTTAAGCAAAAAATAAACTGATCACAGGATATTCACTGACATTGCTGATTGTTGCTTGTATAAATGATAGATGATATTTTGAGAAGACATTGCACTACACTGACACCATATTTTCTTGACCGTTTCCCCACAGCATAAAAAATTGAATTATTCAACATACAGGTATAGGATATTCACTTACAGTAAATCACATTAATCTTAAATCACAAATACATTTTTCAAACCCTTTAAGGTAGCAAGTAATAGCTTTCATCTGTTGTCTCAATATGTCTGGATTCTTTGCTTTCAGTATTAACACAACCTTCACTTTTGTTATTTTCGTCTGTTGTAAGTCTGCTTCCTGTTCTCATTGCCCTATGTAGCTGATTCCAAAACAGGTCTTGGGCCTGCCTCGGGTTAGTGCAGTCTGAGCCAGGCCACTGCAAATAAGTCTTTTTCAACATGACTTTCCTCATGCGGTGGTAGGATGACAGCTGCCTCTCAGAGATTGGCTCCAGAAACACGAGCAGAAGAATGTCTCGGTGCTCATCAAAGAGTCGATAGCTGGCGAGCTGGATTTCAAGGGAACACCACTCACTTTGTAGGAAATTTTGGCTCACCACACAAATAGTTTTACGGCTGCTGTATACAGCAGACACAATGTTGTCCACAATATCACGACCCAGCTCGAAGTCCCTGTGATGTAGGCAAAGTTTAAAAGATGAACCTTTTCCCTCCAGGTTGGGCAACAACTGGTCCATGACCCATTGTTCATCAGAGGAATTATAGGAAATAAATGCATCATATTTGCAGTTTTCCTCCTCCTCTCTGAGTTTGCGCCACTGCTCACTGAACCAGGAACGAAACACATAGTAGCTGTACTTCATTTTCCAGTAAAGTTTGACATAAAGTAAAGGAATGACTGTGAAGAGAAAGATCACAGCTGCTGTGCTAAAAAACAGATATTCTCCTAGATCTATGTAACAAACATTGGTATCAAAGTTGTAGAATTTATGTTCTGCATCTTGTTTGCATGACAGATTGTAGAGATAGACTATCTGGACTTTTGAATTGTATCGAGTCCAGTTTTGCAGCAAGTTGTTCTTGCAGGTGCAGCTTAAAGGAATATTACGTATGTCAAGATAGTGGAGTTTAGGCAAATGTTCTAGTGCATTTACCTGAATGCTCTGCATCACATTGCGGTTGAGTTGCAGTATGCATAACGCTGTAAGATTCCCAAACACCTCCTTGGAGAAGTTCTGAATGCCCATATTTTCTGCAGTCAGTTTGGTCAAATTTCTTAGATTTTTAAAGATTCCTGGTTGTAGGTTTGCCACCCCAACACAGCAGTTATCTAGTGAGAGGAAATGTAAGCCTGTCAGATCATCAAAGGTATCGGGAGCAATGTGAAAGATCTTATTGTTGGTGAGATACAGAGATTTCAGTGAATGGAGGCCACGAAATAAAGTGTGGGGTAAAACAGTGAGGCCATAAGGCCGCTGCCCATCCATTTTCAGATCACTGAGTTTGCTGAGATTCATAAATGGTGAATTGATATTTTCATCAAGGAAGCTAATCTGATTGCTTTGTAAATCCAACACTGTGAGAGTACCTTGGAATGCATGATAAAGCGAAGTGTCAATGTGTTTGAGGTTGTTTCCATCTAGATAGAATTTGGACAGACTTGTTAGTCCAGCAAGACCTGATGGTTGAATCTGAGTGATCTTATTACCTCCGAGGTCCAATGTATTCAGTTTCCTGAGCCTGAGGAAGGTCCCATTGAAAATGACAGAAATACGATTGTTGCGTAAGTTAAGAATTCGCAGGTTGAAATTATCTTCAAATGTTTCATTGAACAAATCAGTTAAAAGGTTGTTGTCCAAGCGGAGTGTCTCAAGCCTTTTTAGGCCTTTGAGAGCTTTACGATGGAGGAAAGCAATTGTGTTTATGTTGAGTTTCAGTGTCTTGATGTTTGGTGTGTGATAGAAGGCATAATAGCTGACGGAGAGGATCCTGTTGTAACGATAGCTCAGCTCCTCCAGGCTTTTGAAATAAACCATCTTTTGCATTTTACAAGATTGGAGGGAGGTGAGGTGGTTATGCTCTGCACTGAAGCTTTTTATACTTGTCTGTCTTTTGAGAAAGCTAAGACAACTTATTGTTTTCAGTTGATTTTGGGATAGAGTCACTGCCCCTATGATATCAGGACAGTGGGACAGTGTGTTTGTTAGGTTCTTAATCCCGTTAGCATTCAGGTTCAGATTTTTTGTCCGTTGCACCTTAGTCTTCAACAGTTTGCAGAGCTTTGTGAGCAGACTTTCATTTTTTAGACCTGTGTCAGAGAAATCAACGTGATTTGCATTGACATTGCTTTTGTTTAAAAACTCCACTATGTTGACACTTGTTGAACGCAAACGCAGATAGTTGATTTGTCTCAGATCTACTCCCTGAAAAGCCATTGTGGAGAGCCTAGAATTGTATGACAAATCCAGTACATGAATGTTCCCAAGAAAAAAATGTTTGCATCCTAATGTAGACAAATTGTTTCTACATAAATATAAAACAGTGAGGGATTTGGGTAGAGACACGTTTGAGTGACTAAGAGATGTCAGATTGTTAAAGCAAAGGTCTAGTTTCTTCAGGTTTGATAGACGTGACACAGAATCAGCAATCGCTGAGAAGTTTGTCAGAAAGTTTTGCCTCATGATTAATGTGTCTAAATTGAGAAGAGAGGAAAAAATGCCCTCTGGGAGCTGCATTAACTTATTGTGTGTCAGTGAGAGAAAGGTGAGGTTGCGTAGGTCTGAAAACACAGAAGGGTTGAGTTCTGATATATGGTTATAGGACAAATTTAGAGACTTAAGTTGATGCAAGTTTTGGAACGCAAATTGACCAATGACCCTCACGTTGTTATGATCTATTCTGAGGTTTTGGAGGTTTGATAGGTTAACAAAACTGTGGTTGGGAATGTTCCACACGGGATTAATGCAGATGGTGAGACTGATGACAGACGGCGGCAGGTCATTTATAATAGCAGACAGGTTCTGTTCCTTTCGACGAACGCAGTTGAAACTTGTTCTACGTGAGTACTGGTCTTCGATGCAGTTCTTATAGCTGTAACCACAGATGAGTTGAACAGCACCAAGAACAACTGTAAGTGACAACAGCTGAAGAGTTAGAGTTGCCATTTTGTCTTCTTGCTGCGGTCCAGAGAAAATCCTTTAAATCATTCCCATCAGTGTCTTGCTGGCTTCTTTTGTTTGAATATTATGTTGAAAAGGCCTCTGGCTTGTTCCTTGGTTGAACTTGTTGCAGGAAACTGAGAACAGGGAGCAGGACACAACATGTATAATGTCACTGAAAGCTGCATTTTCAAATGAGGCCAGGAGCAATATTCTTTTTTGCAAATGTATACTTTCTAAGCAGCATCATCCTAATACAAAACTGTTAACACAATCATTAGATATATCACCATTCATAAGCTTCATGTCACACCTGTTTTCAATCCTTCATAGTACATATGAAAAATTTCTTCTCTAAATGTCGGGGTCTTTGGGATTCATAGGTGCATATTTTAATTGAAAAGTTCAATGAAAAATTGTGAAAGCACAACAACAAACTGACATTTGTATCAAATACAGTTTTAAATCAGAATCAAAATCAGAATCAAAAGTTGAACTATAAAGTGTTTTGAAATAAAACTGGCCCACAATAAAAATGCCTCTATTGTTATGATTAGTGTATCTTACCAGAACTCCAGTTTCTTGAGGCTCCTATAATACTTGATAACAAATCATCCTCCTCCTGTAATCCTCACCTTAGGTTTGTTTGTTATCTAAGAAATGTGAACCTTATTGAAAGGAAATGTCAGTTCTTCTTTCATCATATTTTCATATCCCTTTTCTCTCTGCACTTGTGTTCCCCTTCCTCCTCAGATTAGTTTCAAACACTTTCAAAACATGCTTGACAAAAACTTAGTATCTTTTCTGTCAAACATTGTCTAAAAACACTGTTTAAGAAGCATTTACTTTAACAATCTCGTCTGATTAAAAAAAAAACAACAACAAAAAAACTGCCAAATATGTTTTTCCTTGTTAATATTTTCACCATGACAGTTTTACTTGTTCGGATGAATGTTGTTCACCCCACCCTGCCTCTGCCGAATGCTTCGTTGTACTGTGACCCTCTTAGTCACTCACTAAATCAGAAAGAGGAAGATGGCTGTAAACAATCCCTTTACTTGTATGTTAAGCTAATGGCACATAAACAAGTTCAAATCACAAGATCATTTCAAGCTGTTTTATTGAGTGAATACACAGTTATTTAAACAAATATAAAATAGTCCTGGTATAGAATATTACATGAATACATGATGTACATTATTACATAATAATCAGCTGGATGAAGAAAAGTAGTATTTCAGGTACAATTATATTCCTAAATAAATAATGTATGTAATTTCACCACTATAAACTTGTTAACTTACTGTAGGCGAAAAGTCATTGTTATAAATCTCAGTATTTCCATCTTCACACCTTCACTGGTGTTGCACAAAGACAGCTTCAACACAGTTTAACTTGTAATGAAAGACAGTGGTTCAGGTCTACTGCAATACTGAATTATTACTCTGTTGTCTTTCTTTTCTCAGTTACTTATCCTGGTTTTACTGCTCTGAATTCCTGCTCATTTCACCTATTTTGAAACAAAATAGTGGTTCATTCTGATTATTGGGCTATTACTCTTACATTGTTAACTGTGTTCTATTGTACATCCTTTGACAAGACCTTAATGTTTTGCCAATACAGCAGATATAAAAATAGAAATGGTGTCTAGACAAAAGAATGTTTCCACATCTTTGTACTTCTTTTTATCCTCTTATCTTCTGCTCTCGTGCCATCTGACACAGTCCACAGAAAGGCAGGCAGGCCATGACAACCCAGTCATCACACACAGACCCCTGAGAAAAAGCACAGGCACGGTAATCTGGAGACAAACACTATTATCTCAAATGGATTGTTTGGTGTGAACAGTATCTTAACAGGCGGGCGCTAGGTCTGCATTTTATGGTCACTACAAAATAGTACCCTATTGTCACTACAAAATCAGTGGTTTTATTGATTTTTCTGGTCTAATCAGTGATTATATAGCTTTAGTATACTTATATAGCTTTAGTATACTTACACCAATGTTGTATCTGTTGCGGATACTTGTCCTTAGAGCAATCATGGCGCCAGGAAGGAAAGGCACACAGCAGCTTTCCCCATTGTCCTGAGCCACCTTACAGGCCAGGATACAGGGGATGAAAGTTGCACAAAGACCTGGAGGTGCGAGAAATGTGTCATATTGGAACTCATTTCACAGTGTTGGATCACTACTGCTTGTGTGCACAGAAACACATACAAATTCCACAGTCTTCACAGCAGTCGCACACATTGGAACTCCATTCTGCAGAGGGCACAGTGTACTGTGTGACTTGGACTTGAGGCTGCGAGCTGATCGCAGTTGACTGGAACTCCATCGCTGGAAGTAGAAGACAAGGAACATGAGGTTGAAGTGTAAATATAGAAACATCACACTGGGTAATAATTATGATATATCTGTTGTAATTGTACAGAGTCACAAAATTATTCAGTTAGATGTTCCAACCCACTTCACATGGTAATGGTTTTGTCCATACACGAGAAAGAGAGGCATCAAATTAATACAATCATTTAGTGTAATTCATGGTAATGAAAACCTGAAGATCCTCTCATGTAGCAGGTTTGGTTTGTATGCAAGTGTTTCCCATCTCACCTGATCTCTTCCCCTCTGAGGTTAAAGTATGGCTCTTGAAAAGGTGGTCAAACGTAGTCACAGACTAAATCCACAAACAGGAGGGCAAGGGCAAAGCCCTAGCTCTTATACCCAGTGTGACATCAGCTGTAACACGTGAACCCATTTTCTGATATGACATGGAAAACGATGACCGTATGCGCAGGTTCAAACACCTTGTATATTTTCAAATGTTTAGTTTTGGGGCCTTTACAAAGAGTGCACCTAACATTACCCTGTCTTTATCAGCATACAGTAACTGAAGTACAAAGTTGGCATAGAGGGCATATTTGTATTTCAGCAACTTATAAACTAGGTGTTGCCTTTAGGTCCGGAGTGGTGTGTGTACACACTGCGTGTCCCACTCTTGGAATGGGAAAATAAAGGTGGGAAAATAATGAGCTCTGACCTTCAAGCACAGACCTGTGTTGACTGTGGAAAGAGTTTTTGGAGCCATACATCTTTATAGTTCGGTGCATATTCATTTTATTTTTTTTTTTATTGCAACACAAACTAGCATATTAACAGGACAGAGGACAGGACATGGAAAACTAGGTAATAGATACAGGACATTTACAAAAGAGACAGTTTAACATTTAGTTTGTATGTGAGGGTGTGTAGTACTATGTGACAGTCTGGTGCTAAACCAGGGGTGGGGAATATCTTTCTACAGAGGTGCAAATCAGAAATCTGCCACACCTGTGCAGTTAAAAAAATGCCTTGAGTGCAATGTAATGAAGGATATTTGTTTCTACGTGTAATTTCTGCTTAGAAAAACACATCAAGCAGAATATGATTACTCCATTTATTGCACCAAAAATGTGTGAGCCACTAGGCTTCCTGTAAATCTGTTTTGCATTCAAGGAAATACAGCCACTGAACAAAAACACGTACTGTACGAAGGCGTTTAGAGATACGGGTTACCCTGCCAAGTCACTAAATTATTGGACTTTAAGTATAGTTGGCATTTTAACAGAGAGAATAATTTTCCACTCCACTCATTGTAAGATACACCTTTTCTGAAGAAAATAATTCATTTCAAGAAATAAATGTTTTACCCAAATCATTCATGTATTTTTCTTAATACAGAAGCATAGATCACATCTCTGGGCTTTCAAGTGTTACAGTTACCCATGTATAATTAAATCAGGGAGAAAATGGTTTATGGAGTTTTGTAGGATGTTAAGACAATCACGTAAATTTTCTTTTGAATTAGTTTTTGTCTCAGAGGCCAAATGAGATGTCAGCAGGCTGCATCTGTGCTAAACACTTGATCATAAAAATAATTATATGTATTAATGATTAATTCATATGTTTTATATTGGAATTGAATAATTGTATAATCATTTTTTGTTAACATGATTGTTATTTTTTAAAAGTACTTCAGTATGTGGTCTTACAACATATATCCTATCAATATTTAACCACTAGTTAAATAGGTTCTTCTGTAATATGCTGTAGGTAATAGAATCTCATGATTTATAATATGTTTTAAATAGAGAGACTAGAAATTACATGCATACTCACTACTTTCTTGTATCATTGTCATACTGTACATGACATTTCCAAGAATCTTACATTATTTATTTATTGACTGGCACAGATTTCTGAACATTTGTAATCATAAAATTATTAAATACATTCAAATAAAGTAGCCCAGGTTGTTAAATCTTGACTTCAGGTGGTATAACGGCAAATGATGTTGTGAACAAAACTCAAACTTGGTTACAGTAACATCTGTCAAGACAAGACAGAACAGATCAGAGCACCGACTACTTCCCTGCGTGTAAAATTGCATATACCTTTCAAAGGATTGATTGCAGTTCAAATCTCAAATGTGCACTTTTGAGCTTCTCGGCTATGTTATATATATGTTACTTTTATCTCACAGTGCTCAAATTTTATCAGAGCTTAGCTGAAATCTAAAATATCAAAAAAGAAGCACCTTTCTGAATATGACTGAATAAAAAAAGAGTTGGTTTAAATAAAGTTTCCTTTTGATATCAACTTAAGAAAAGAGCAATATGTCATTGTGGGAACTGATAAGAAGGCAGGTTCCCCACACTTACAGAAGTGGTTGAGAACTGGGCAGATAAATCGTCTGAGTGGGTCTATCAGCTAATAAGAAACAAAACAAATAAAATACTGCAGTACAGAAATTCTAAACAGTGGGAAGTCTTTTAAAAACAGTGGCACCATTACACAGTTTGTCCACCAGAGAGCGCTAACAACATAACATTTTTTAAACTTTTAAATAGTCAGGTGATGGCTACAGCTTCTTATATACAGTGGTGTGAACTTTCATTTTTGCCCTCAGGTCACATCAGAGGCATTTAAACAAGCCAGAGGGGCATTTCAGTAGCCCAAGTTTTAAAAAAAATGAAACTTAACAGACGTATGCCAGTTGGCATGGCAGTTATCTAGCAGGCCCATATCCAGAGGATTCAGACCAAATAGTCTTAACAGAACAGATCCCTTTATTGTTTGAAAGTCTCCTGCCAAGTGTAGCTCACCTTTCTGTTGTCCCTATACTTTTACACTTGTTCTACCTTTAATTCCTTTCTTTGAAAGCTTTTATTCATCTTAAAACACTCCCCAGATGTACTGTAGCTACTCTCTTTGTTTTTGACATGATTCAAAAGTCACTCCATTCCTAATACTTCCTCAAAGGAGAGGAGGCATGATGAAAATAATAACTTTACACTGTATAACCTTTAACCTTCAGTTAGTATCTCTCTTTGTAGTGTAGAGCACCTCGCTCTCAGAGTGCAGGTTTGCATGTGCTTCATAGAATTTACTAAATCAGAGTAGGAAGCTGTTCCCCTCCTGTGGAACCAGCTCCCAGTCTCAGTTCAGGAGGCGGACACCCTCGCTACCTGTAAGATTAGGCTTAAAACTTCCCCTTTTGATAAAGCTTATAGTTAGGGCTGGATCGGGTGACCCTGAGTCGTCCTTTAGTCATGCTGCTATATGCTTTGGCTGCTGGGGGGCCAATGATGCTCTGTGCTCCTCTCCTCACTCTCCATGCAGTTACTCTATATGCCACCATTACACATCACTAACTGTGTGTCTCCTCTCTCCCGTAGTGTGTCCTCTCTCTCATTCTGTACCTTTCTGTAGGTAGCCCTGGCTCTGGAACTTCACGTTTCTGATGAGCGGTCACTGGCCACATCAAGCTGCCCAGCATTTGTTTGTTTGTTGTATCTTGTTGCTTTTCTTAATAATAATAATAATAATAATAATAATAAGGACCTTACTATGTACCTTGAGATGATTTTTGTTGTGATTTGGCACTATACAAATAATTATTTTTTATATTATTTTAGATGATGACACACTCTTAGTCTACAAAGAGTGAGACAAAATGTTAACATAATGGATCAAATGTGTTTGCATTATGCATATAATGAATAAATTCAGCTACATAAACATTATGTGAATGTGTTGCATTGTCTATCATTGTGATTGTATTGTGACACACAAAATAAAAAATCGTTTAGATGGACATTTTTCACCACACGTCTTAGGCGCTTTAATTCTCAAATGAACAATTATGTTCACATGTCCTTTTACATGAGTGCACACCAGATTACATTCAAACATTATTAACTTTAATGCTATCGTGTTGTGTATTGCACTATTCTCAATACAGACAATGGAAGAAAACAAGTGATGTTGCACAATAACATAATCTACGAGAAGACCCACAATGGAGACGGATGTAACCACAGGAGTGACCAGTTCCTCACACGTTTAGCGCATTAGTTGTTATGAAAAGAACTGGAATAGCCAGACCTTACTTATTCTGTCCAGCTTGGGTTTCTGTGAAAAAGTAGCAAAAGATTTATAAGCTTAATTTGCATGTTTGCAGTGGTTTAAGATTTTCTTTAAAATTTAACCCAAATGCTTCCAAACCTTTTAAATTAAATAAGTTGTAATGTGTAAAGAACTGAACTGATTGCTCCTATTGTATCAGGTGTGAAATCTTTAACACAAGACTGTTTTAACCTGTTTAAGTGGCTTTGCAGAGCAAATTTTTGCAGATCACATTTCAATATCGGTTTGAGCACTACACTAATGCTAACAGATACTGTCATTTCCTGTGGTTTTTAAGCATATACCCTCCAGTGTGTCCTGCTTCAGCCCTTTAGTTTGCATCCAGTCTTCTTTACAAGATCTCACAGGGTATGTCAGTCTTGCCCCATAATACATTCAAATGTTTATTTTGTTTAGAGAAAAAAATTATTGCACATAGATGTTAAATTGTTTTACTTGTCACTTGTTTTAGGCTTTGTAAAGGTGTGCCAATTAAAAAGTGTAAAATTTATGTCAACCAAAGAACAGGAAGTCTGAAGAAATAATGCCAAGTTACGATAATATAGTCTGGGTGTAAAGGAAGCTGAA